TTGATGAAAGGTATACAGAAATTATTCGTAGTTTGTAATTGTGTTTAAAAAATAGGTTGATAGCAATTGCTCCACCTGGATGTGTAAATATTTTGTGTATATAAGGTTAGATATAGTTGTGAAGTATTATACATATTCTTTCTTTTGATGTTGATGAATTAGACCAGTAATATTTATATTGTTGAGTATTAAAGAATTTTGTTGGTATACTATTTGCAATTTTGGCTTAATTAAACTAATGATGTGTAGATTGTTAGTTAAGCAGTAATCTTCCCATAATAGTCTTTTTTCCTGTAGGTTGTATCCTTGTATATTGTGTGTTGCAATATTTAATTTGAATGTAAGGTCTGATGGGTTTTGAGGTAATATATGTTGCGATTGTAGATAGTTTGAATTAGACAAGATAGCAGTTTGTACTTTTGTTATGAAAGACTCAGATGTAGGTGGTGAAGTTAATAAAGAGAGTTTTGCAATATTTAGGTTTAATGAATTGTTTGTTAGGTATAGTGTATTGCTGTTATTATTAGGTAAATAAGATGATGATTCAGAAGATAAAAATAGGTCTTTTGATAATATAGGTGGTGAGGTTGGTATAAACAGGTCTAGTAGTATATTAGGAGTTGTATATATAGTAGTTTGAGTGAATGAGTTAGGATAGTTTGATTTGAGAACGATGTTGCAATAGTATTGTAGAGCTTCTCTGCATAGTAAAAAGTGGTTTGGTATTAGTTTTGATTCAAAAGGCAAGTAAATATGTATTTCAGAATAATTTTTTTAACAGAAATAATAAGATTGTAAAAATGCTTGTCTATATAGTATTCAAAGAGGCTAGGGTATCTAAGGAATGAGATGATAATTTGTGGTTCTGGTAATGTTGGCAGTTGGTGATATCTAAGGAATTTGTTATAGCATATTGTTAGATGTGAAAGAGGTCTTTGATCAGGATCAGTAGTTTGTTTAGTGAAGTAAAGTCCAAGACGGACATCTTGTCGAATATAGTAGTATGGGTTGTATGTTCGGTCATCTCTAATTATGTTGAGAAGAAATTCTGGTTTGAGAGAGTGGATATCGAAAGTAGTAGATATAGGAA